GTTATTAATCAATTATAAATAATAATGAATAAGGTATTGGAGAAAATCGTGGATGAAAGTGATGGAACGCACTGTTCTAATTCAAAACCAATGGTAAATATGAAATAGACATAATACTTCCACCATTATTAAATAATAAATATTAATTAACCTTAGTTATTAGGGTACCTTTTACATTTATTTTTTTAATATCATGTATCATTCTGTATTAATAATTATAAACGATTTATCCAATTCCCGATGCCTATTTATTGTATGTATTCATTTAATTATTATTTATTAAAAATTATGAATAGTTAGGATTATATTATATTTTATAATACCTAAAGAAAGTACAAATGGACAACTTTTCGCCAGTAAAATATTCTAATCTAAATAAATAATATTATTTTATACTATATAGTGTTATTTATATACATGTCATAAAGTATGGACCTACAAAATATTTCTACATAGGTACCAAATTTTTTTTTAAATATCTTTTATTAATTATGTACCTACATGAAAGGAATAAATCAGTTAAATAACTTTTCACATTCAAGTTTAAAAGAGCTATTTAAAAAATAATTTTAGTACTTAGGTATTGTTACGACTTATGAAGAATATTGTATTATTATTTATAATTAGCACACACAATCATATTACAATGTACGATTTGTGTATACAAAATTATATAACTGCATTTTTTACAGGATAAATTGGAATTGCTATTTCCTAAATACACAAAGTTTTTTAAACTTTCAAAAATAATTGAAAATATATTAAGATATGAAAAATTTGAAGTAATTAGTAAAGTATGTATATCAAATAACCGTATGACTTTAGATAGCAGATCCAGCTCAAATATTATAAAACATCTGAGGGTAAGTTTTTTGATTATTTTCTATCTGTAAAATAAATTAGAAACTGTATTTTTTATGAATAATATATAAATCTTGCAATATTAGGTATATGAACTAACATATATTTTCTAAGTTAAAATAATAAGAATAGGAAATCATAATAAGTTGTTTTACTTTTTGAATATCATTGAATCAATAACGATTAGTTAATCATATTTTATAATTTATTTTCTTTCCTGTTACCTAAGTAATTTACATACCTAATACCTATAAATTATAAATAATTAAAGAATAATAATAAATTCAATTAAATTTGGTCAGTCAAAAAGTTTTTAGTGTGGGTGGAGCAGTCCTAACAAAAAAAGAGGTCAGATAACTAATGAAAACTTTGAAGAAGTTATGCTACTGAAGTGCAATAAATTATTTATTACAGATTAATACATTGATACATATATCAACTGTAAATACTAAATTCTATTAAAAAAAATATTTAAAAAAAATATAGCTGTTTTTTTTGATATTAAATAACAATAAGTACTATGCCACATTTATAAAATTAGTAAATTTTAAAATACTTATGACTGTTTAGTGTGTGTTGTACATTAGTTACATTGTTGTTCAATCTATAGTATTTTATGGTACTTACAACATACACCAAGGACCAAAAGTGCTGCATTCTTATTCTACCTAATTAGTTTAAGTATAAATAGAGTGCTGAAATAAAAAATGAATTCAGTTTACTAATAATTAAGTTTATCTATAAGTTCGAGGTAAAAAGGTAAAACATAAAAAATTTAAAAAAAAAAGTATTTGAAAGTATCTTTAAATACTTTTTAAAAGTATCTTTAAAATGCTGTAAAATATGTATTCATTACTAATCATAAGCAGTATTATCTAGATAAAAACATTTATATTTTTATCTAGATAATAATAATTCGAAGTTCTTTTTCATCTATATTTTTATAAGTATAATGGTTATTTGAGATAAATTATCTAGAACATTTTGAATAAGATAATTTATTTTGTGTCAAGTGAAACAAGGAATAAAAAATATTCAGTAATACAGTATGCACGTTAATGCATAATTTATTTCATGTAACGGGGGTATCAAAACGACAAATTTTATTTTGCATTTTATTGCATATTTCGACGTTTTTTTCATTTTTAGAGCATTTTTAGTATTATTGGGTCATTTTGTCGGTTTTTAATGCATATTTGTTCGATATACTAAACAAATTTAGCCTATTCAAAATAAAATCAAAAGTAATTATTTTATTGATATTTAAGTAGGTTTATCGGGTTTTTCCATACACATTGTCAATCTTTATTTTTCGATTCAGTTTTTATCTTATCTTAATTTATTATTAACTATGGAATGTCACCAGTATTCGGTCAAATAACAAATAATCAACTATAGTTCGTATTACCTTGCAGACGTTGCTCGTATTACGTGCGAGTGTGATTTTAATGTATTAAAAAGTGTATTAAATAATGCCCAAAATAAAAAAAATATGTCATTTTTAAGGTCATTTTTTTTATTTTTAAATTCATTTTGTGATAGAATGCATCTTTTTTTTTTTTGCTATTTTTTAAAACATATTTGTATGGTTTTAAGTGCATTGAAATCCGGGCCCTAGTTATAACTTATAATAATTTCTCAAATTTTAGTACATCATCAGAAGAAATGTAAAATTTACCAGTAAAAAATTTTTGGTAAATTTACCGGTAAAATTTACGTAAATTTACGTAAAATTCACGTAAATTTACGTACAATTCAGTAAATTGGTAAATTTTGAAAAAAAAATTTTTTTTTTAATTTTTATTCAATTTTTAAATACAGCTTACGTACTAAATTTCTTACCTTCTTCAACATTTTTACGAAATTTTATAATGTAGGATGAATGTTTTTTTCCTTTTTACCTACCAACCTATCTAACATGTGTAAGTTTTGTAGAGCATCAAAAATATTACAAGGAAAATCCTGTATTGAACTAAAAGACTGAATTCTTTCGACAGATAAAAGACTCAAATCCTTTAATACTTCTCATGTTTTAGAGTATCTAGAATTCAAAACAGTACTGACTGTGTCTAACACAAAAAAAGTAAACTTTTTACTAATAATAAAGATGGTGTGTTGGCAACTTCATTAATTTCATCATGCAAATTCTCTCCATCCATTCTTTTTTTTCTCCTAATTCTGACAACTTGAAAATCTTGTTCCTCGAGCTTTTCATGTATTATAAACTGTTTTACTTCATCAGTTAATTCGTTGTATTTATGATCTTTTCGTAATTCCTCAAGTCGTTTTGTAGCTGAATCGACTAAATTCATTGCTTCAATGATATCTAATTTAGGAGACTGCATGTGTAATGAAACTAGAGTTGTAATTTTAAATACCTTTTTCATAAATTATATCATTTAAATAAATTTGTAGGAAGTTACATTTTTAAGCTGACTAATAGCCTGTAATGAAGTAGTAAGATCATTTGATAATGTTAACTCCTCCAAACTTTCAACAATAGCAGTAAAATTTTCATAAATAACATCTATAGCTCTATCGTGTGACGTCCAACGTGTAGAATATAGATATTTCAATCTTCGCCATACTTGACCATGATACAGCAGTTTCTGATGGTTAATAAAACAAGCTGTACGTTTTCTTGCTCCAAAATACTCAACCAATGCTTGAATTTTTCCAAAAAAATTACGAGTATCCAAACATGAATCACACATACCTACTATAACCGAGTTTATAATATGATCACAACACCAAATATATTTAGCATGGGGACATTGTTGTTGTAAAAGTGTTCTTAATCCAGAATATTGCCCTTGTATTGATGCAGTTCCATCATATGCTTGGGCATATAAATTATTTTTTCAATCCAATCCATGTTTTTTCGCAAAAATAGTTAAAACATGCCATAGCCTGTGGCGTCCGGTGTTATTTCTAGTGCAATAAGTCTTTCTTCTACAATTCCTTCATAATTTACAAATCTTATGACAAACAAAAAAAAAAATACAAAATTCATTTTACACCCTACCAGATAATATATCCTCAACAATGTTATATTCCTCTTTCAATAATATTATAACTAATTCTGCCAATTCAATAATACCCATCCAAATACCAAACCCAAAAATATTTCCACCCTCCTCTCCATGGTGGAATTTCACCTGCATGGAATTGGTCAACAACAGGGCCCTACTTTTCAGAACATTCAGACGCTCCGGTTCTAATACCGACTTTCTTTCATATCAAAACGCTTGCTACCTAACAACTCGAACCTTTAAAAATGAAAAGAGAAATAATTGGAAACATTTTTGTTCAAATCTAATACCATCCAATACTATTCAGCACCTCTGATCTGTAGCTAGAAGACTTAAACATTGTGTAACTCCTCCATCTCGCCCCGACAACCAAGATTGATTCGAAGAATTCTGTTCCAACTCGCCCCTTAATATGTTCTATCCGAAACTAAATCTCTTTATCGTTACGATCACGATATATTTCCTACTCATATCTTAACAAACAATTTCAGTATGTCCAAATTAAATTACGCTATTTTATCATGTAAATCTACCGCATCCGGTCTCGATAATATCTCTATACGTCACCACATTAAACACCTCTGGTTTTCCCAATGGTCAAATCTCCCAGCAGAATTTGCCACCAGATATAAACATATTGTTTCCATTATTCCTCATAAAACCTGGCTCAATAACCTCCATCTTTTCAGAGCTACTATCGTCCAATTCAATCGCTTAAGTTCAGGTCACACACTCTTTCTTGCTCATCCCTACAAACTGGACCTAAATGACTCTCCATTCTGCACCTTATACATAACAGAAAAGTCCTGTGATCTTTCCCAAATTCTTTTCGGCTGTCCTTCTCTGTACATAAAACGCACTACTTTGTTTAAATCCTTAAAATCTCTTAATATCTCCTCTAACCTATATTCTATTCTCAATTCTAAATCTGAAATTGTCATTAACTTAATAATAGTCTTTATACTGGAAGCTGGCTTTAGAATCTAATCCATGTAATATTGTATTTTTTTGTATTCTTTCTCGATTTAATGTAATTGTTACCACCTAATAATTGTCGAGCTATAATTTTATTAACAAAAAGCTAATAAAAAAATAAATAAAAAAAACTATGTTCATACAAATTTTATTTATTCTTGTTTAAAATATTTTAAAATTTTCTATAATAATAATAATATTGGTTTTCGTAATTATTGTGCGGCTAACTTCTTCTTGAGAGATTCGGGCATTTCCGGTGGTGGTGGTCTGGGTAACCTGAAGGCAACCTTAACTCCGTCATAGATAAACCATTGAGCCGCCGTCAAAGTACCGACCATTACAATCCTAGGTCCCAATCCTTGCCACAAACCTACACAGTAAAATGTAACGTTTATGATTTCCAATCATAAGTATCATTATAATTTTTTAAGTTGTTTTCACTAATTTTAGAAGCATTGTTCGCGGTAATCAAATAAATTACATAAATACAAATGGTTTTAATAACTAGTAGATTGTTGTTTATTTCAATGTTTTTTTTTTTATGTTTTTTATGTGATTTATTTAAAAAAAAAAAAGTAAATTCACACTGTAAACATGCGTTGTTTATAAATTACATTAGGATTAAAGTACTTACCCATTAATCCAATTTTTTTAATGATGTCTCCGATAGATGCACCCTTGGCTTGGTTCAATTTGGACACTAACGTGTCAGCAGGATGTGATACAACGGCACAGAATACACCAGCAATGTAACCAGCGCCGAATGTCACTATCAACTGTTCGCCCTTAGAGCATTCGATCCTAGGCTTGGGCACAACGTACCTAAGTACAAATATTTTCGGTTGAATTTCAATGAGAAAAAAACTTGTGGCCGAAAGTATAAAAGTAATGTTATCGGTCAAAGAATATCTCTACGTATAATACGATTTTCAAATTAACTACAGTATTTTAAAGTCAAATCGTAAACCTGACGGGTATATGAAACGTGGATTCTAAATACGATACTAAGCTTCTATGCATAGCCTTTAATCACTTTTAATTTCCATTTTTAAAAATAAAGATATGTTTAATAATAGGTTATATTAGTGATATTTATACTGTTAATTTACTAAATTCTTAACTGTTATGATAATATGCCTTGTATTCGATCACAGTTTTTATTCTCTTTCAATAGAATATAAAGCTCTTATTTTTTGTAAATTGCTTATGCTCAGAATTATGAAATAATTATAAAATGAATATTACAGTTAATAATTTAAGATATAAATAAATAAGCATAAATTATTTGTACCCAATAAAAAATATTCCTTACTTTTTTTGAGTCAAATGCATATTTTTGCAAGTATACTTTAGTATATTGTTCTGTTTCACTACATCGATCCAAATATTTTTTTACATTTTAAATACGAATTTTTATTTTAATATTTTATTCATTTAATTAGTGATTTTTTTTAATTAATTTAAAATCAATACATGGAATAATTTAAATTTTACATTTCTAAAAATATAACAACGTAAGTCATAATTTGTATTGTGAGTCCACCATATAACTTGATTACACTTGCCAAACGATGATAATAACAATAAATAAAATATAACAAAATTATTTCCGTGAGATTATACCATTTGACCATATGAACAAGCAGTCGATGGTTTCAATCAAAGATCACAATACCAGGTAAACGGTGCCCTTTTTTGTGTGCATGTTTGTAAAACCAATAAAGAATGATATTATAAGTCTTCATACTATACATATTAACAGTATTCATTCTGTAAAATGTGCAACTACGGTACACCTGATCAATAAAAATAATTTCGTACTTGTACAGCAATTCAATGGTCTTCTCAAAGCACGCGAATTTCATCATCGTATATGGGATTTGTCTCATCCACAGCGGCACTAAGCTTTTGTAAAATCCGTTGAATCCTTCAGATTGGTGAATTTTTGGTATAGCTTCTCTCAAGGTATTAGCGAAACCCGGTTGGGTCTGGATACGAACCTATATATATAAATATAAGAAGAATTAAAAATGTAATGCACAAACACACGCGCTTTTGTATGTATAGGTATTTATAATCATGTTAAAAAACAAATGTAGCAGTGCGTGAACACACCATTGATACAACGCAGCACGTGTTATTTTTCTCATGGTGTGAAATAAACACATTTCAAAAGGGGTTGTCAAGGAAAAAATACAAACGAGTAAAGTAAAAAATTAAAATAAAAAAACTTTTTCTTTTGTACATCATATATATATATATATATATATATACATACATGTATGTATATAGTATCCTACAAGCCTAATAAAACGAAAAGTAGAAGTGTAGACATTTTTAACCTAACTTACGAGGTAAAATCTTTTCTCTTTTTACGTATGACCAACACTTAAATGCTTTAAGAAGAGTTTCTACAAACTTTTTCAAATAGTTTATATTTATTGCATAATAAGTCGTGACGGAACTTTCACAAGTACTTAAAGTTTAGGTCATTTTTTCACACAAAGTTTATAATTTGAAGAAATAATTCATTCATTAAGAAAACATGAACGAGATGATCTACAAGTGTTGAGTTTCCCATCTCGACTTAAAAACAGTTTTTTCAAAATTTTTTTGTTTGAAATAATTGATCAGTATTCAATCTTCGCGGCAAGCATGAAACCCTCTATTTTCGATTGAAAGTTTTCAGTTTAACTGAATTATTTAAATAATATGTTATTGTATAATTTTTCAAATTTAAACATTTGTTATATTAAACAAGTCTAAGTTGATATATCACTTAAAAAGTGAAATAACTATGAAAATGAGGTTTAGGGACGAATGTATGTGTTTACTTTAAAAAAAAAAAATGAAAATGATTACCTACGCACATAAAAAAGCGATTATTTTACAATGAATTAATATATTGTGTTATTGTAATATTATAAAATTTTTTTAAATATGGTGTACATAGTGCAATATTGTGTTATACATTGTACATTAATACATTTAAACCGTTCATCGAGATGAGTTTCATCGAAGTCAAACGTATACTGTTACCCGTAACCAGCGGGGTAGCCTGGGCAAAGTGGGGCAATGGCCCGGGGCTCCAAAGCACAGAAGGCTTTGAAATCCTTGGGCAACGTTGAGTCTATACTTCCTTAAAATAATTGAAAACTTTATTAGATTAAATTCCTAAATTGTGCGTGGTAATTTTAGTTACGATCAGTATTAAAATATAATTATAACTCACGCAATATGCAGTGTTGGGATTATCTAGATAAAAATGTTTGTTATTTTTATTTTATCTAGATAATAAAAAATGAACCGTTAAAAATTATTGAAAAAATTATCCGAGATAAAGGAATCACTCATCTAGATGATTAAATCAATTATTCATGATTGTAAAGATATTTTTCAGATTTCCAAAAATTTTCCATACTAGTGCTAGACAGTAGACATAATTGTTCATTATTATTACATTTGTTTTATACAGTAATCACTATTCGCTAATCTATATAATTCGTGATATATAATATAATATTATCAAAAATAGTGTTTATTTCAGTACCTATTATCATTTATCATTGATGTGTTTACTATTACTTGTTCAGAAGAATAGCTTATCGATAGTTGGTGATTGTTTTAAAAATAAAATATTTGTTCCAATAAAACATGGAAATCAAATAACACAATATTATGAAATATGATACTGATATAAATCCCCTGGCTACTGCACTACTAAAGTCTAAAGTACTATCTGCTATCCCGTAGACATCACCACTCACTTCAATAAATTGTTCGATAAAATACTATTTATATTACAATATACATGGCGGAGCAATAATGCAATCAGATAAACAATAAATATTTTAATCCCCAAAATTTAATAAGTATATAACAACGTGTGTATACACCTATCGATCTATCTATGGAAATGAACTGTGACTTTGTCTTACAAATATTCGTGGTATATGGAATCGTGGTAGTACTCCCTTCTCATCTTTTATTTCTCTTTCTACTGCATGGGTATTATTTGAAGAATACAAAGAAGATATGTACACTGGTTTGTTATCCAATACCAATTGAATAGTTCTTTGTTATTATTACTAATATAATTATTTTTCTCTATATATATATATATAAAATGGGCCAAAAATGTATTATGTAACATTTCATCAGTTGAGAGCGGCTGAACCGATTTGGCTTAAAATTTTTTTAATTGTTCGTAATTGCCAGTAAAAGATTTTTACGAAAAACAATTTTGGAAAAGTGCTATTGTTTAATAAATCGTAATTTAATAATTGTTGACCCGGTCGATAACTGCGCAATTGAAAATGAATTATTAAAAAACTATTAAAAACTATTAATTTTATTTTTGGTATTAAATAACGTGTATTGCATAAATATTAAACAACAAGATCCCACAACAGATGCCAAATCAAACAAGAATGTTAGTTCGAAGGATTATTATGCATATCGATTCATAATTAGACGCGATCAGAACAACGTTATTCTACGATATCATGAGCTTTGTCAACAATTCATGGTCGACATATAAGTAAAGATAGAGAGCAGACGATTACGATACTTGCGATTCAATCAAAATAAGCTGCGTGCGGAAGATTCTCAAAACAATTGTTAGATATTGGTGATGGGAAAGTTACTACAGATGAAACGGGATGAATAAAATTACCCACCGATTTCTGCACAATCATTGATTCGCAAGTTGCTCTCATTGACCAAATATTTTCCAAAATACACAGACAATACACAAATCATGAGTGGCTGACAGAAAGAGTAATTTTAGCAGCGAAAAATGTGGACGTCAACGAATTGAATCTCAAGATATAACATTTGTCACCAGGAGATTTGATAACTTGATGTGCCAATACAATTTAAACGCCTTCAATTTCCAATTAGATTGGTATTTACAATGACTATCAATAAGTCTCAAGGCCAAACGATGTCTGTCTGTGGCTTAGATTTAAGCACATCATGTTTTTCACACGGACAATAATACGTGGCGTTCTCTCGAACCATCCAGTTTGTTTGTGTTGACGAAAGATGGGATAACAAAAAATATTGTATACTTAGTTGCATTAAGGGATTGATATTGTTTTTTATTAATATAGTCATAATTAGCAATATATATAATTTTAATGGATTAATTTTAATAAATGATTAAAAAAATATTTAAAACAATTCGATTTCGATTTATTTATTTTTATCTGTGCAGGTACTTAATAGATTAAAAGATAATTATTTGTTTTATATTAGAAGTCCGTGTTTTGGTCCATAATGACATTCTGTACTCTCAAAAAAAAAAAAAAAACGTATCACCCCTTAGATTGGATTTTTCATTTGGATTATGATATGAAACAGAAATTGCTATACTACAAAACCGAAAATCAAAAAAAAATATATATAAGAATGGTTATTGTGCAATTTACCTTAAAAAAATGTATTTTTATATTTAAAGTTATGTAAATAATTTTAATCTATATTTGTTTTATTCGTGTATGTTTGAATATAATGTTATTCTTATAGTTTTCTTTTTATCATATACAATGGATTAAAAATATTACATTAATATTTGTTTATTTAGTTGTATGTGTATTTAGAATCTTACTTTAAATCTTTAATATTTTAATTTAATGTAATTAATTTTTTTGTTTTTTTTTTCCTCAATAATTATATTATATAATTTAATAATTCTCTATCTCCAATACAAGTTTTTCTTTAAGGAGATAGCTAATCGAAAATGTTCTTCATATTAATTTATGTATATTTTTTCTTTTCAATCAATAAAAAAAAATGTATATAAAAAAACCCTGGTTATTCAAGTTGTTTAGCCGGGTTATTTGCGCCAACTCACTTTGGCCGCTTCCATCGGGCTGAGAGCTACGTCGGCGAAGAATTCAGCAGTCGCGGACGCAGCCAGATACAGTCCCGTCCTATACACGTACGCGTTTTCCTCGCCAATCGCGTTCGCGTAATGAACTTTGAACACTTCGTACAGCCCAAACTTGCACATGCCCTGGAACAAGCCGTTGCGATTAACGCGGCTGGATACGCGCGGTCACGCGTTGTTTTCGACTTACTTGGGCGGCATATCCCCAGAACGTCGGTGCCCATCCTTTGGCCAAGCCCTTGAAACCGTCTTCTTTCAACGTTAACTGCGCGCGAACATACAATATAAACATTTTTACAACAATGTCCAATATATCACGTCTGGTGTGTGAGATGTAACCCTTCGTCTGTACACCGGATATTTTATGACACAACCGAATTTCGAAAATGCATTTTTTTTGCAATTTCGTCACTCTTTTACAATGTTATAAAAAATGTAATTTTTAATGAATCGCAAAACAAATTTCAGGATCTTAAAGAGCAACCCTCATTTAGTAAATTGAAATTTTTTCAGATTTAGTATTGCAAACCACATCTGTCTATTTATGACCCAGTGTACAGACGACATCTCAAAAAATAAGTGTACAAAAATCAATCCCTCAATTTCTCGCCACCACCACCACTGTCAGAAACGATTTTTCCGGTGGTCTAGCGGCTGCCCTTACTTTGAAACCGTGAACGACGTTCTTGTACTTGGCCTGGTCGACTTGCAGACGGCATTTGACTAAGTCCAGAGGAGTGACCATCGTGTGAGTTATACCGCACGACAAGAAACCGCCGAGGCCGCACAGCAAAAAGTATTTCGTTGATCCGAACGCACAACTGTCTGCACAAATGAAATAATGTTGGTTTTTAAGGATTCGTTTTTTTTTTTTCAGGTCCTACACCGCATAATTCGTGACTACGTGTAATTAATTATTACAAGTGCTACTAAACGGTTTTTTTTTCTAATTTTTTTTGTAGTCGGTGTCGTGAAAAATTTGTTATTTTAAAACATTTTGAATGAACACGATCGAAACCACGTGTCAGTTCACGGTCAAATAAAAAAATATTTAAAAATAAAAATAAAATAAAACTGTCAACATCGTTGGCCATGTGGATAGTATATATCATGTTCCCCTTACTGAGTTCTGACTATTTTTAACAGGGTCGATCAACTTTATTGATATAGTTTTCAGGCTTAATCTAGGAGTTCGATCGAATGACAACTCAATAAATATACATCATAGATAATTATTTTTCTAAATTGAGATACCCATTGATTTGCCAAACATAATATTCCGTTATTGTGTCATCACGATCTTTGATCGTCTTGCATCGAGTCGAATTAATAATATTTCAATATGGATTAATTTAATGAGAAAAATAATTTTTCTACTTTGACAAATTTTTAACAGATGAAAAACACGTATTCAAAAATAAATTTCGATATTTTAAACAGTTTATTAGGGAATAGTATTTTTAGACTTATACGAATATTTATTATGAAATTTAAAACTGATTTACTAACCAGTGATTGGAACCTTTACGATTTTATCGGTTTCGGTTTCCGTTCCGGTCAGAAAAAAATAAATTTTAGTTTCGGTTCTTATAAATAATAAACATAAGTATCGGTTTTAACTTAAACTATAGGTCTTTTTTTATTCTTTTTTTTTTGAGAGGATAAGTAATTTTTTACTCTTTAAATAAGCATATTTTATATCATCTTTTAATACTACCATCTCTTAAATACTATATAATTGACGGATAACTAGGGCTTGGGATTTAAAGCTTTTAACTCGGGGAACTATATAAAAAAAAAAATTGTATTTACAAATTTTTACTTGAATAATTATTTTTTTTAATTTAAATTTAAAATGTATATATAGCGTTATTCTATTAAAACAACATACATAAGAAGCGTACATCGCAATTGACTAATAAAAACAGACTTTACATACATAAAATCTAATCGATGTAAAGAAAAAATTTGTAAAACTCCGAGTAAGATTTAATTATGTAAATTAGGTATTATGCGCAACAACGTAGTTAGGTACAAACCTAATAACATTAATAATATTGTAAAATGAATTTCAATAAATATTAAATAATTTAATTGTATATAAATTTGTTATAATTTAAATTACCCATTTATTTTAATTTTACTTACTTTTAATTTGTATTTGCAATGTTTGCAAAACAGTACAGACGCTAGGATGACCCGTTTTAATATAGTCCATACTGCACAGAGGCTAGAGATAGAAAAGAAAATACTTGCCCACTACTTAAAGCTATATACTATAAGTTATAGTTTTGGAGCATAATTTTCTTCGTAACAGTTGTGCAATGTGAATAGTTTTAGATATTTTTATACATTATTATTACGTCTGTACTCAGAAGTCGGTAAACCCATATTATTGTCATTGCCGCATGAAACAATAATGAGGCGAAAAATATAAATAAAAGAATTTGTATTATATTAGTTCTATTATTGTTCACTTCTACTATTATTTAACTCGTTATATTCAGAAGTAATACATTTAAAGATTGAATTTTCTTAAGATTACAATTCATCCGGGAAACTTATTACAAAAAATAAATGACATAAAAACGATCGCCAAATAATTTTAGGAATTCTTACATAATAATCAAAATAATATTATACAAATAAATATACTCGTATAAATATTAACCATAGCTTTTCATAAGCTTACCAAATACGAGTATGCAAATACTAGAAATTCTTGATCAGAGACGTTCTCTTTTTTTGTTCGATAATTGATAAGACTTAATAAAAAATTATTACTTTATACTTTGTAGTATTATTGTAGGTATAATAACACGATAAACATATTTTATGCATTTTAAAGGGTTTCAAGTTAAGATATATTTACGATTAAAAATTAAATCATATTATTATTACTTTGAACAAATGTTATAAAAAATAGAACATAAACATGTATTGTGAGCATTATGTTGAAGCTGATAAGGGTAGTTTATAAAGTATACTCCTTGGAAAATATTCAATTGGAGCCTATATCTCAATAGTGGTTGTACGCGGAAGATATTTGTACGAATTATGGATGTTCCGTTTTCTGTACATTTTCATAGCGAGTGGGTGTTTTTTGATTTTATCGAAGGCTTTCGAAGGTTTTATCGATACTTCTGCAATCGAAAATATAAAAACGGTCCATCAACAATTATGTTTTCCCTATACGTCATTAAATCTAGCCATTGAATTAAAAAATTTATGGAACGGTAAATCCACGATGGTCCGTTTGGAACTTTTTATTAACTCAGTTTTCAATCGAATGTAGATAAATGCGTATATAATATTATCAATATTGTCAGTGAGAAGGTACATTCGATTGCATTGATATCTTATTTTTTTGATTGGTTGAAATTTGAATAATTTGTAAAAATATGCAAAATAAGCACAAAAAAAGTACAAATAAGCACTTTCCTCTAAAGCCTATGAAATATATAAAAATATACACATTCAAATTTTATATTTGATATCGACAGGTAAATGTATTTCGTAAACCGCTACATTTTACATTAAATAACAAAAGTATGCAAATGCTTTAAGTCCCGAACCCTGATCATAATATTCTACAAAGATAATTTCGCTAAAATGTTGTGCAAGTGGACGTCGTGTTTGTTGTATTGTTCAATGTAATCTAAAAATCATTTTGTTTTGCATAGTGAATATTCATAAAATCATTCTTTACGCTCTTTGTACACGTGTATTCCAAATAATACATTCATAGATTTATTCACGGTTGTTGTAATGAATAATCGATTGGAAACCAATACAATGTACACGATTCGTACAAATATATTATACACATGTTCTATTTATTTTGTAAGGTTATTTTTTTTTTTTAAAAAAAAAAAGAATCTGAAGATATTTCTGTTCGAGCAAAATAAATACACGTCCCAATATTGTTAATATTCGATTTTTTTATTTATGTTGAAAAAAATTATATTAATAACTATAATGTATTTATTTATTATTAATTAATATTTATATAAATATATTATTATTTATATAATGTAACATTATATTAAAAAATTTTAAAAGAAAAATACAAAGTATTTTATAGTTGTATGGAGTTATATAATTTATTCCTATGACTTGTTCATATCATGATAAATTATTTTTGCTTCAGCTGAAGATAAAAAAAAACTGTAGTTCCATATTGACAAAATATTGTCATTAGGCTGATATTCAGTACTTATATATGAAGAGTTCTATAATTAAATAAACTTCGTACAAATTGTATAGATCAGATAATTGTTCTGTTCGTTTATAAGTTCACCGTGGTCAAAACCTATGATTTCACTAATATCAATAATTTTTAGATCGATTTTAAATATCATGTACATGTGTGTTTTGTACAGGTCAGAAATAAAAAAATTTGAAATTGATTATGAATTCAGTAAAATCATAAAAATGTACATTAACTAAAATTAATTAATGCTGATTAATATACACTAATATAATCTTTAAGTTTCAAATAATGTAGACAATATGACGAACTTCCATAATATAACTTTTGATCGCATATAATTTTAATCACGTCCATCTTTCATTCAAAGAATTCAAAGAACTTATTTTAATATGCATTAAAATATTACGTAAGAATTAATTTTTTGTTGTAACATTTTTTAGTATATAAATACATTATTTATTTAAAAAAAAATAATATTATATTTCATCGCATTGAATAGTAATAGATGTTAGTTTTCTTAAAAAATATTTATTTTTTCTGATTTCCGGATTAAATCTATTGTTTAAGAAAATTTAAGGAAATCAATGTATAATATTAACTCTTCATAGTTAAAAATATGATTAAAAATATATTTATGCCCACTATAAATCTAACTTGAATAGAGATGATGATAATATGGTTTACTCGATAGTTGTTTTAAAATACTATTATTAGTGCGTTCATGCACAGCCGGGCAAAATGATAAGCTAAACGAAATCCAGCTTATGCATACGCTGATTACAATCCCATATTTTTCCTACCAAATATAAACTAATAAATAATAATAAAATAGCAGCCAACTATTGTCAAAAACAAAATAATCCTATTAATTTTTTACAAAAAATAATTGATTAGCAGTTTTCAATCATATCCTTACAAATGAAAAATATCGCGATAAATACGTTTTATTAAGAACTGTAGAACCATGTTATTTAATAAACATTTTTTTTTTGCACATTTCAAGACGGCCAGTTGTGCAACACTATAGTTGTAAGTACAAACGATAAATTAACAAGTATGCCCAACCAAACGAATATATTGTATAATAGATATAATATTTACGACTTTGTCATTAACACGTATGGTAAGAAATATAAGAATAATTTCTCGCATTTCGCATCGGAATAATTAATTTGGCACATAACGTAAGTATGTTCAAATGAATTACGTAAGTACGTTTAGAGGTCAGTTAAAAGGTGATTGCCAGGAATTAAAGTAGTAGTCTAATTTTGGTGTCGTGAAAAACTGAACGGAATTATATTAATACCTGATGTATGAATATGATTTCGTAAGTTTTGTTTAAGTACACCGATTCGTCAATCAGGCGGAACGGAATATCCCGACGATTTTTTCATTCACGTACCTTTTGACACGGACATACAATATTTGTTGAATATATTTTTCTCACGTGTTATGTACACATAGTCGTCATCAAAATATAGTTACTTAAAGCAGCTTACGGAAAAAAAATTAATAAATAAAACATTTTCTTTGACCGTTTATCGGTGCTTCAAATAAGTGACCTTTAAACAATTTCATTAAGCATTTTTTTTTTTTCTTTTGTTAATTCTATTACTGACAATATTATTGTCAGGACTTATCATCTTATATTGTAAGAATTACGAAAAAAAAGAAAAAGAATAAAAAAAAAAAAAGTGGTTCCATTCATAAAAATCATTTATCGCTACAACGATAAGTTAAAAAACTTATATGCATACATACTTCGGGGGTTTAACAGCGTAAAAATAAAATTTCAAATCTCTCCACGGTCACCCCGAATTTTAAATTTTTTTTACGTCACGCACCCTTAGGCCTCTTTCACACGGTTCGTTTCTTTAACGGTAACGGAAACGAAAAATAGAAAACGGACAATATTTTCGCACAGTCCGTTTAATTAACGGCAACATGGACTTTTATTACTTTTATTATTTACAACTAGATATCATCCAATTCCAATCAGTATACGAATTGACAACTAAACTTAAACAATAATTGTAATTAATAAACAAAACTTAAAACAGATACCGGATTAAAGATACGAAATCGGAAAGTGCGAAAGGCTATATCTATTGATATAGTCTTGATAAACGGTCCGTTTTAAAAACGTTCTAACAACGGAAAAATATCAAGGCAATCCGTCAAGTCATCTAATAACAAGCCGTCGGGTTATTCGTCCGTTGAAATGGATAGTGCGAATAACTAGTATAAAAAGTCCATGTTTGTTATCTAGTCCGTCTTCTGTTTTTATGCGATCCGTTTCCATTGCCGTCCATAGACGGACATTTGGTTGAATTTTTGAGGGGGAGCTATATTAATTCAATGTAAAATAACCCGCAGGGGCTTCGCATCCACACTCCCTTCCCATGCACAAGTAAAATTTATTACCATTAAAAATATAGATATGTTTAAATTGTATTAAAAAACACTAAATAACGTATATTTAAAAATAATTAATATTTTATTTTAATGACAGATATCTATTTGTATCAGCAATAATATTCAAAATATCATCGCTTTTTATATTTTTCGATATATCTTTTTAATATATAGTATTGAAAAATCGCTGAACCTATATTGAACCAACAATGTCCTTAGCCAAGTTTTTATTTTTTTTCATTGCACTGAAACTTTGTTCGCAAGTAGCCAAACTTTATAATTGGTATTGTTAATGCTATTGTAAATAGTTTTTTATTATTTCTTATTTCACGATTTTTAAAAAAAAACGAACAGATAATTATAAAAACAACGAATAACATTTCTAATAAAGTTTCGATTTTGGGGAGACTATTAAAATATTTGGGGAGGTCTTCCTCCCCCGATGTCCGCCTATATTGCCGTCAAAGAAATAGACTGCATGAAAAAGGCCTTAGGGTCAAAGGTGGAACTAGGAATTTTTTATGCCCGGGGAAAATGTTAAAATTACGCTCTATCATAGACCAATAATCAAAAACTCTTCTCGAGAATTTTTTTCTAATAATTAATGTACAATCATACCTATTGAGTTTTAATCTAATAACAGTATTTAACAAAGTTAAAAATATCAAATTAGTTGTTAATAATTACAAAAATTACACCCTCTAAAACGTTTCGCCCAGGGATGAATTCCCGCCTTCCACGCCCTAGTTCCGCCGCTGCTTAAGGTTACACGTTTCAGACAACGGTACGGTGGACTGTAATCATCGTCAACAATACAACGTGATGAGAAAACGCGTGGACGTGGCGCATACCTTCGGAGATGGCCGCAGCCATCGTTGACGTGGACCTAAAGTCCGGGGCCGGGAACACCACGGGTGACTGCACGATTGTCTGGGACGACCGCATGATGGCCGACGGAGCGAGTTGAATCGAGTGAATGGAAGTGACTGCGAACGGGAGACGAGTACCGGTGATGGGGAAACGAACGAGAAACCGACGGGACTGACGAACGTACTCGGGACGGCGGCTGTCGTTCGATCGGCACACGACGGTGAACTACCGGTGGACGGTTTCGATGTGGTTCAGGTCGAGTACGAAAAAACTGTCGAAAATTCCAACCTAAATAGAAATGTAAGGGAAAAAAAATAAATATTCTAATGTCAATGCCGACGGTGCTGGCAGAAAAACGGTAGCAGAAAACATCTGGGACATCGACGCGCGGGTCGGCGGTTTCGCAAACGCGGTATTATTATTAACTCGTTCGCGTCTCTCCGCAGCCTGCCAAAGCGATGTTGCGATACGCGATGCGAATCGTGACGAGCCCGTCCATTGACGGCCGCGCGCTAATTATAATTTATAACGTTGGTCGACTAAAACAACGTTGGCCCGTGACGGCCGATTAGGAAATCCCTTTTTCTTCGATGTCCTCGGTATCTTACTTCCCGCCAAAAAAGTTACGTGTACGCGCCGAATCCCGCGAGTTGTCCAAAAAACAAACCGTTTTCAACGATGATAATAATTATCTTTCACGTCGTCACCGTCTTATTGTTTTTGGTTCGTAATAAAACAATACAAATTGGCTTCATCGTCATTTCGATGTTTCGACGAATTTCTCGTTTGATCTGTAGTACAATTCAGTATATAGGCCCATCGTTAACATTTAATAATTTAATAATCCCCGTCCTAAAGCGAAAATTGTATTTCCACTGTTTATTCAGGACATTACAAATCGCGATCACAATACGTGTAATCATTCGTAGTCTCAGCAAGCTAGTGGAGCTAGCTACTAGTACTATATTATTAGTAAATACCATGACTGGGCAAGTTAATAATATTTTTTTAACTAAGTTAAGTTAATCGAGTTCATGTTCAATTAAGTTAACATACATGAGAATTACATCAATTAAGTTAAAAACTAAGTTAAAAGATATCGTTAATTTAACTTCAATTAATAGGTAAATTGAGTCCTGGAAAAAAAATATATTAGGTAAGTTGGGTCCCGTGAAAAAAAGTGGTAGGTAAATTGAGTACCAATTACTAACTATACTACCTCGCCGTAGTCGTTTTACAAATGACAATTCACACTGTTTCTATCGGTTATCGATTCCATTATGATCAAATAACTTCGTAACGTCGTAACTTTGATTACGTCTAATTAAGATACGTATATAGGCATATACGTACATTAGTGAGTTGTATATCGTGTGTTACTTATCAGTTAACACCAATATCGATGATAGTTTTTATGATTACACACAGACACGAGTGTACAAAATCTGAGCATTTTCACTATATTTTTCGTAGCGTGCATTGCGTACTGTACGTCGATTTGAGTGTGTTAAATTCGTATCTTTTAAGTTTTTACCGAAAATGTAATAAAAAACACAATAATATTAAAATGGACTTCTAATAAAATTTATTAGATATTTAAAAAAAAATTGTTTACCTTGAACTTAACCTACTACCTTTTTTTCCCGGCTACAACTCGTTTGCGCACATTTGACTTTTTTACAACTCCTTTGCACAAAAAATGCACAACTCGATTGTGCACATATATTTTGGATACCTGTGACGAAAATCCCTAGTGTCAGAACTCGTTTGCTTATTATCGTTGATTATTATATTCCTCATGATTATAAGAGTTGGTTACTTTTATTATTTTGTTTGAGTTATTAACAATAACCTTTGCAGGACATTTTTTCTTAATGCATCTAAAATTTGAACATCCACTCATTAAAACACGGTATTCACTAAATTTATAATTATCAATATTAAAACATTGTTTTCCTCACCGAGTTTCAAAAATATTAGAAATTTTTACATCATATTAAAGTTTACGTCGTCAACACACTAGTCACCACTGTACCGTGCAAATCCATAGTCCATACCTACTGAAACTTTACGTGTCATTTATTTCCAGGTAAATGACCGATTTCGTCCTGCGCAAACGGGTCGTCGATTTTCAGGTAAAAAATGTTGAATGTGCGCAAACGAATTGCAGCGTCTTTTCCCCGAGATTCAACTTACATACTACTTTTCCCGGAACCCAACTTACCTACTGCCTTTATTTTCCCGGTACCCAACTTACCGAGAAAAGGTTATTTAGGACCCAATTTACCAACTCCTTTTACAACAGATTTTATTTAACATTAACGATAATGAAAACGCAGAAAAATCTTATTAGAGTAGAAAAATATATATTTCTTTATTGGGATTGTCTTTAAGCACTCAAATGACAAATTTATGGTAATTTAGGTATTGTTTTTTTTATTCATTATTCATACAAATCACATATGATAAATATAATTTAAAAATAAAGTATTCTTTTTAATGTTCAATAACAGTATGAAAACTAAAAATAATTACTGCAGCTGAAAGTGTTACTATAAAATTATACAGGAAATAGATGTATACAGCTGGTAGAAAACATTAAAATAAATATATAATAAAATGATAATATTATTTAATTTTATTAAAATCCAAACAAATAAAACAATAAAATGGACAGGTTAATCAAAATACCTATTGAATCTCAATAAAAGAGTCGTCTCAAAATGTTGACCAGCTATTAAATGTCTTCTCTTATTCAATAATATTTAATAATATCATAGATTATGGAATAATTATAATAATAGAGTACAATTATTATTAAGAATTATTTAGTTAATGATAATATGTACCTATTTTTCTAATATAGTTTTATGGATACTTTTCATGACAATGGTAATGTAATTCATGGGTGGCTATTTTTACTCAATAGTCTGAAGACGGTTGAGTACTTTTTCCGATACCGGTAGGACCCCTATTAATAGTTAATACCAAGATTAATATAATGGTCTCATCTAAAAATTCTTCGAAATTTTTATTTTTATATTTTTCTAAATCTCATGAACTTTTTATCGAATGCGGTATATTACAAAAACATTTTTCTGGTCTTGAAATAAAAATTAAATTAATTGAGGTAAATGAAAAAATAATACGTTAATTTCAAGTTAATTTGTAAGGAACTGAGTAAAGTTAATAAGTTAAGTTAATTTATCAGTAATAAAATAAGTTAAGTTAATAAGTTAAACCTATAACTTATAACTTTTAACTTATTAACTTGTTATTGCCCAGGCTTGATAAATACACGTAACAGTAATTATTGTCGTTTACTGTCGATATTTATCGAATCTCATAAAAATTATACACCGCACTAAAGCAACGCATGACTTACTTGTGCCCAAAAAACGAGGCTGTTGGTACGGATCTATTGAATAACTTTTCAATTTCTAAACCTAGAATTCCGCATGGTAATAAACAATAAACACCGTATGATGTTTTAGGAGAAATCAGTGCCGAATTACTCATTAGATGAAGTAAGCGACCGCCTTAGGGCCTCACTCATTTAAGGGGCCTTGTGAAAACGGAAAACAATATTTTTATTTATTTAATAATACTCGTATTTTATTTACAAATTTAGGGGACAAAAGTCATTCTGAAATATAATATTTATTAAATTGTAGGTGTTATATGCAGTAATGATAATAAAATTATTTTGAAGAAATAGAAATAATATAATAATTAATTAATTTTTCTTGCAAATAAAAAAATGTAATAAACGTAATTTTTTTTTATTAATAATAGTTGGTGATTATTAAAGCTGTTTATTTTAATTTTTGGATAGTAATGTTAAAAATGTAAGTAAAAAATAATTTTGTAGGGCCAAAAATATGAATTGCCTAAGGGCACACAAATGTTCAATGCGGCACTGGGTAAAATGCACTTGCTGCAAGTCAAATTATATATAAAATTTTTATAAATCAAAAAAAAAAAAGAATGTTCTTCCATTGGATTTAACGTATATATAAAATAATTTACAGTAAAAATTACAAGCTTCACGTTAAAAATAAGTTGTAGTATAAGTTACTAACATAAAAAGTTTTTATATTTTTACCGTATATCTATGTTATAGTTTTACCTTTTTTTATACTTCTCCAATATTTTTAATAAATGTCCAACATCGTCAACAAGTTCAAGTAGAGTTTATTGGAATGTGTAAACTTTATTTCTATAAAGTAATATTATCACATTTGAAAGTTTTATTTCAACAAGGTAAATCGGTGATTTTTTTCCACTAGAAATCCTGGTCTGTTCTTCTTGCATAGTCGACATCGTTCTCCTATTTTGTTCAATGGAAATTTCATAGGCTGCAAAAATAAACAAAATCGAACTGGGGTCATTTGTCATGTTAATTTATCTTGTAAATATTAAATATTCACAAGTTTAAATCATCGATAAGTAGTATAGAATATTATTAGACAGATATTAGAAGTTATAAGTTTAAGAATGTTGGTATATTACAAATCGTTATGTGTACAAATCGTACAATGGTTGTAAAGAAAAATTTAATAGGAATTTCAATTTAATAAATGATAAATGATTGAACTTTAAATGTATGCAAAATTCTGTCATATTATGTGATTGTATTCAACAGTTTTGCAGAAAGATGCCGAATATAATTCACAATTGAAAATAATATTTTAATAAATTTCGCAAAATTTACAAAATATAAAAAATTTGTAATATGCACAAACGGATTAATTACATACAGGGCGTATTTTAAATTTTATTCTTGTTCAATTATTCCGACATGATATAAATACTAATGTAAAAAAAAAAATATTCCTTCATAGATTATAAGAATAGGAAAAAGTTATTTTGAATTTCACGGGCCGATTTTAACATTTAGGATCTGCAAATATCTTAATATTTTTAGTTTTTTTTTTGGTTCAAGGGGATCCAGTATCTCTGTCCCGCCATTCATACGTTAATGATTACTTAATATGATAAGCTTATTATGTAAACATTAATTTTTCAAATTAATTATTGTAGTGGAATTATAATTGACTTAACTTTTTTTTAACTTACATAAGCACCGGGTATTTCATTTTTACGACGTTCGTTTTCTTCCATGGTTAATAATTTGTTCAAATCTTCGGCTAAGAGTTTCTTTCGGCACAACTTTTTTTGCAACATGTTTTTCCGTAATATGTCGTCCCTATATAAATGCAGTCATAGGAATGAAATATAAAACACTAAAATGAATTATATCACAACGCATTACTCTTCTCTGAGCTTATTCAATAAGTTTCTTTCAAAATCAATATTTCCTTCCTTTTGTTTCTGATTTACCATATTGCGTGCGGTTTGTTGCTTTAAATGGTATTCAGCTAGTTTGCTGTAATAATATAAATATGTACAAAAGTAATACAAATGTAAATAATTATATTTGTGTCAGTAATAGAATATGATTTTCATACAAGCCATTTTCGCTAAAAGTATTATTTTACTTAAAACTTTTATGTAATTGAATAATCACCTAAACCATACTTTGATTTAAATGCAAATCGTTTGTTGGTATTATATATTGTACAGTTATAAAACTATCAAGTTAAGAAGTAAATATGGTATTAAAGAACAGATAGTATTAATGCTAATAATGTACGAAAAACACGGTAAAAAATTAGTTTAACTATCAATTTTATAATTATTACGCCTTACTGTTTCTTTAATTTAGCATCGCTCTGACGTTGATCTTCATTATTGCTCATTATGGCATTAAATGCCGGTTCTCTATTAAAGTCACTAGTAATCTCATTATTGATTTTCTTTTTTTTTTTCGCGCATTCATCAAGAATGATGCAGAAATTTTTTTTTGACCTAATTTTTGCTTCTATATTTTTAATTCTCTCGTCATGTAAACTAAATATAGTTAAAAGATTAATAATAATAACATTTTGTCCGAGCACACCACAATCATATATCATCATGTTACCTTTTTAATAATTCTTTTTGTATCAACTTTTCATTTTTTAAAGACACTATCTTGTCATTTTCTTTTTTAGCATTATTATGATTTATTTGATCTAACAATGAATGTTTGAAATTCGTTATTTTTTCACTCCGATTACTCGAAGGTCTCTAATATAAGTATCAAATATTAAATTAATTTTTCCAACTATTGCATAATTGTATAGTATTGCTAGTTATATATACTTTACATTGTTAAATAGACCATTTTCACAATTTTTTTCATTGCGAACTTTGGTTTTTTCATTGATAATTTTATTCTCTAGTTCTTGTGCACTAATATAATTAAACTTGGCTATTTCTTTTTGTAAATTATTTCGTTTACTCATGTTTTCCTTTAAAAGAAAAGATATTTTTATTACTACAATGTATTACAGTAATGTATTAAATTAGTTTATTATATTTGTACCGAGTTTAACAGTCTATTAATTGGATTATCTCCCTTCATAAAATTGTCTTTGTTTTCTAGAGAAGATAAATTTGGTTTTAATAGATTTATTTGTTCCAGACGATTTTTCCTAATATTACACGAACAACACAAAGTTATATCTGAAATCAAATCAAAATTGACTTTATCTTAATCAATCAATACAATTTTGTGGCCTACCAAAGTTTTCAAATGTCTTCGATATTGAATGCTTAGAATTCGGTCGATTCGCTGAGCAAACTGAATTTTGGTTTGGCTTGTTAGAGCATACAGAAATTCTAGATGTCGTCGTATTTTGTTTATTCGACTGGACAGATAATTTCGTCCCTGGTCTAGTTTCACTGTCCAGCTGGTCGGACTTTCTTGACATAGGTCTAATTTGTTCACCGGATTGAATGGACGTTCTCGAAACTGGTCTAACCTGATCATTAGATTGAACGGACGTTCTCGATCCGGGTCTAGAAGACATCCTAGACGTGGGTTTATTATGCGATCGATTGGATGAATTGGACTGAGGTCTGTCCGAATTGTCATTAACATCGGGAAGTACGCCTTCATACTCTGACTCGGGCCTGTATTGTGACAACGAAGACGCTGGTCGAGATTTGATGGAGTTTCTCGATATTGGTCTTATCTGACCGTTTGAATTTATTGATGATCTCGATTCGGGTCTATTCTGCTCGTAAGATCGAATAGACATTCTCGATCCCGGTCTAGTCTGATCATTGGGTTTATCGGACATTCTTGATCCAGGTCTAACAGACATCCTAGATATGGGTCTGTTCTGAGATAAACTGGATTGGGGTCTGTTTATATTTTCTTCGTCCCAGGGCAGCACGCTTTCGTAACCGGTCCCTGGTTTGTATTGTGATAACGAAGACGCTGGTCGAGAAATAACCGACATTGCTGAACATGGTCGTTGCTACGAACATTATTAATTTAATTTTTCAAAATTTCCGTTAGCAATAAATTGCACACTTAGCGCTTTTTCCCATTTTAAAAAAATATTTAAAACCTAAATAATTTGCATTACGAAATGGTTTTTGGAGTGGCCTGGTTAAGTTATAGTTCAGATCAAATTAGACAAATTAGAGGTCCAGAAAGCAATCCCAACAACTTAAAAGATAACTAAAAATAAAATAAAAACTTAAATAAATAACTTAAACTTAAAAAATACCGATGAAAATGAACTTAGCACACTATGATGGTAACGAGAATAATCTATGAAAGAGGAAGTTTATATCTAACTGTAAACAAATCAAATTCAATGATAATAATGCCCGAAATGATGTTACGCAATAAATAGTGCAGTCCGTTGAAACACGAAATTCGAGCGATGCAATGAACGTTCTCTAGTCGTTACCGGTAGAAATTATGTATAGGTATTACATTCTGAAAACAAAACGAATAATTCAACCATAATATACAGTTATGTACTTGATTTTTAAATTGGTCAGCATTCCAATTGGGATTATAATTTGCAGATTGAAGCTTTTTTTTCTCTTCCTCTGTACGATGTTTCAAGTATTGATTTTGTCTTTCTAAAAACTCCTGGTAAAATTTCATTACTACAGTTTTATTTTTTACTTGTAATTTTCCAATTTTCGGAAAGGGAAGTTCACAATCTTTTTTCTTCAAACAATAATTTTCTAAACGCAGTTACAACTTCATTGAAACAGTGGGTGGCCATATTTATATTTAGTTGATAATCATGGGCCACTGATATTAAATTCAAATATCGTTCTTGTATCTATTATGAGTTTACAATTATAAAAAAAAAAAAAAAAAAAAATTGGATGATAAAAATTTGATTTAAATGTCTATAAAAATTATTGTTATTCATATTTAATTATTATTATACACTCACATTTCCTGAATTAAAGTCTCTTCTTCTTTGAAGGTTATAGTCTTTTGCTAGTTTTTCATCAATGACGAATATCGGCTTTCTCATATTTATGTCCCAATGTACAATAGAAAAATATCCAATCCCTTTTAATAATATTCCCTAATACAATCAATTAATACAATTCTAATTCACTATAATATTAGTCACAAGTCTAAAGTCACAGTAACTATTTCAAATTTAGTTTTTTAATAAAATAAATTATACGAAATTAATTTACGGTTCCTTTTCCTCGAAAATTATTTTTAAATTATAAATAAAATCAAATCGTAAATAAATATTTGTCGACCATATAATCCGAAAAAATGTATTTAATAGGATTAGAAACGATAATTTGATGCTAAATTAATTACGTGCATCACAGAATAATTTAGGCTTATTATATATTTATAACGTAAACATTGATCTTACGATGTAATAATGATTTTGAAAATACCATGAGGTCTATTTGAGATCGGGTACTTCATTGAAGTAATTTTAGTTGAAAAATAATAACTAAATGTGATGACAGAAACTTTATATAAATAGCAGACTTAATGACAAAATATAATTTGTTTTCATATCATAAGATTGCTCCACACGCTACACGTAGAACACGCATTAAATTACCATGTTTAATATGTAAAAGCAGAGATGGTAAGGACAATAAAAAATATACATTTGTAACCGGGGAAAAAAATAATAGTAACATGCAAGTGTTGCGATGAAAACATTTACTTTATTTTGGTTTAAATTATTTTCAATCCATTTGGAAATGCAATCCCATGTTTTAATGACATCTGCAAACATAAAAATAGCACTGATTTACAGAATTTCGAGATGCAGTAGTGTCCAATTGTATTTAATTTAGTGAAGCAAATTATACAAATGAGTTACCACCCGGAGACGGCGCAAGGGGTAGGCAGTAGGGGCAGTTTCCCGGGACCCCGCGCCTTAAATTATAATTAAGGCCCCGCGGTTCTGATTTAACTGAACTTAAAATATTTTATTAATATAAATTATAAGACTCAACATTTATTTTGCCCAGGGCCTCGCAAACTCTAGCGCCGTCACTGTTACCACCACCAACCATTAGGTTAAAGCAGATTAATGAATGATTTTATAATAAATGCAACCATCACTCAAAGTTAAATACAGGAGTGAACATCCTCATAAAAGTACATTTTTGGCGCCACTGTCAAGATGAAATTATTAATGTTCTAATGTAGGTAGTATTGTTATCGTCGAAAATATTATTTTGCACTAGTACCTTTGGTCGAATATTCTTTGCCTATCTTAGTTTTAAAATTTTGTAATGTTTTGTTTACAACCGCGTCACTTCTGCGTACTTCATTTTGGTGTTGTCGAGCCATATTTTATTTAAAAAAAAATTATTATTGATTCAAAATTGATGGTACAATACTTTCGATTGTAAAATTTAACTATACAAATTTACGATGATGACTATTGAGTACTACTAACTGATTGGTAAAGAAAGGTTAAAATTAATGCGATTTCAAACAGTTATTATTTCTATGGAAATATCTAGTTTTCTATTTTAAATCCGATGCATAAATTATTTTTAATTCATTTTTCTATCAATTTTTCAATCGATATTATTGTTTTGAAAAAAAATCAATATACATGATTTAACTGAAACTATAATTAGTAATATTTTAATCTTTTTTTTTTTTACGTCGCGGCGTTATCCTATTTGTTATGCCATAGATTTTATCAGTATACCTACTAAAAGACGACGACAGTACAAAAGCAGAATAATATGTTATGGTAGGACGTGTTATACTCGTATTTTTTGTGAATTTTAATAGAAATAAAACCATCATTGTATAATGTTTATAAATTATTTTATACACTACAAATTCTACATGATTAACAATCACGGAAGGAAATCAGTCAATACATACATCATAAACAGCCGCCTAACCAACCATCGGACAAAAAATTACAATAAAATTTAATACATCGCAGACCACGATAAAAACCTTAAAATATGTAAGCGTATAGTAGAAAATAATAGTTTAACAACTATGTTTTTAAAATTACATAGTGTATTTATAAAATATAAATTACACTTTTATGTTATCATAATCGTACCTCCAACTTACCGATAAAAATATTAATTTACTTATAACGTGGCAAAATATTCTTAAAAATAATTTACTTATAAGAACACAAAATATAAATATTATTACATAAACACACATAATAATTATTATAAGCCATGTCCAGATAAATAAACAATAGCAAAATAGTCGGTATTAACATGCATATTATGCATTGTAACCAGGCGCGTACACAAGGCGGGGTTTTAAGGGTTCAAACCCCTCCCGAATTTCAGGAAAATGATATTAAATATGTTTTTATATAGTAAAATTGGTATATAGATTATATTATTATGAAAATGTACATAAACGACATAAACATTTATTGTACGTTTTCTATTAGATAAATAACTGATAAATGATAACAATATTATCTTCAGTAAAAACTTTTCAATATCAAGATAAATCAAAATGTTGTTAAACATTAAATTATAGCGGTAATAATACATAATTGTTTAAGAAATGCTTCATTTAAATTTTTAGGAAAATCTGGGGCTTGTTAATCTTTCTATGCCAACAACTAATAAAAATCATCTGCTTGAAATTAAAATAAACAAATAAACAATTTTAAAAATACAAATTCTTAATTGAATACAGAAATTTATAAAATTACTAAAACACACTTTAACACAGGTATTATAATTTCTATTTAATTAAATAATATTTATTAATGTACCAAGCGAAAAAATGTTAATTAGAAGTTCGAAACACATCAAGTTATTAAATACACAAAAAAAAAAATTTTGGAATTTGATGGAAACACAAGAAAGCAAGTCTAAATCTACGTGTAATTGCGAAGAACCCCAGCAGACTCCACGTAAATTTGCACATTAAATTGTTAATCATTATTTTAACTGATCTGATGTTTATTCCTTACAACTATTAGTCATCACTGATATCTGTAGAATATGTTTAGAATCCGGTTCAAATGAACTAAATAAATTCATTACGCATTGCCATTGCCGAGGAAGTATTGGAAAAGTGCATAAAGAGTGCTTAGAAAAATGGCTTGTACGTTCTGACACAAACGGTTGTGAAATTTGTAATTTTCAATACAAAACCAAACGGAATAACAAGTAATAATATTATTTATTGATTATTTTCACGCGCGTGAAATCGAAAAGAAATCTTCGACGAATATGTTCCGACGAACTGTTAAATATTTTTTTTGCACCGAGGTAAATTAATTAATTTTCTCAACAAAACGTTACGTAGTGTCGTGTACGCGAACGTGCAAAGATACAAAATTATCATTTGTTAAGATGTACAAGCAGTGGCACCCACGGCGTAAGGTACCAAATTTTTGGTTTCTCATGAGTATCGGGACCTACATACATTTTGGAGCCCCACCCTGGTCTCTGGAGTAAATACTATAAATACATAACTATTTATCTGGATCTTTAGATCGTTGAATAAAGCGTAAATAGTTGGTAGTGCCAAATATGCAAATAAATATAGATATATAATAATTAATACAGACAACTATAATAATGTTGATTGTGTTGGTGTCAGGGCTCAGGAAGCCACCCCAATATTTATATGATATTATGTTAATATGTTATGTAACTACTATATAGAAATAAATTATGATGAAGTAATAGATACATTTTTTAAAGCAAGTCACCACATATTTAATTTCTTAAATTAAATCACTGATCAAAATTATTATGTATGTTGTAATATTAACTTTGAAATTTTCAATAATTAATAAGCTATTGTATTTGAAAAACTTTCCTGAACAATACCAACCGGTGAAGATTTTTTTTTTTTTGTAAAATTTTAAGTTCGAACCTCTATTAAAAAAAGTTGTACAGGAATTATTGTATAAAAAAAATATTTCAGTCAAACAAATATGGTCATATGGATGTAAACCAAAATAAATTATATTTATGCCTTATAATTATAATTGCACTGATTCATGGAAAACCTGTGGGTGCCACTGCGTACAAGATACGTGAGAACACTTATCACATAACTTCCAGGTCTTGCAGACAGGTCCGGCGCTAGAAGTATTGGCACCTTGGGTGAAACCATGTTTTGGCGCCCTTGAACCCCCTCTCTCCAACTAACTTAATTTGAGTAGTAATAAAATAAAACTTTTTAGTGAATTTAAATAAAATTAGTACATATTTACTATAATAACTTAGTATTATATCAACGCATTTTTTGGACAGGTTTTTGTTTTTTCGTTGCAAGAATATAATAGTTCTAATTTTGAGCTTGGCGTTTTTTTACTTTTTGAAAGTTTTTTCCGGGAACATATTATTTCCGCCACTGCCTGCAATATAGGAATACTGTGTTTCACTAACAACTCATTTATTAAGACAACCAAAGAACGGAGTTCATTGTAAATAACTAATAAGGAACCAAAATATTATATAGAAATTAACAAAAAAAATATGAACATTGATTTCTTGTTAACTGTAACTTGTTAGTTTAAACATTTGACATTACACAGCAGATCGTACGTAGCGAGAGCTCGTCAAAAACAATAAATTGTGCGTGTGTGTCAGGCAACTGTTTCTTTTTGATTCACGCCACACACCGCGGTATTTTCGCCGTAAGGTCCGAACGGTTTTACCGCCGCGTTACTTACGTAATCATCTAGTTATATGAATTTATTTGTGAACGGGTAAATATTTTATAAAAATAAATATTATGATTGTCTATTTATTTACACAGACAAATGCGGTGGTATATTTCCATGCATTATTTTTACATCAAAAGCAGCGCTGAAGTAGAAAGCACAACTGTTATATTCTTACTTCCTGTAGATCGTTAATGCGTGTTAAAAGATGAATTAGATGAAAACAATTTTAGGCAATCGCCCGGGTCGCCCATAGCTTTCGCCGGTCTTGCTCGTGCAGGTGCACAAGGATGTTTAAATAAATGCAGCGAAAGTGTGACGGTTTTAAATGATTTGCTTAAAACTGTTTACGAGGAATCAGCGGAAACGAATGCTCGACGGCGCCTACATTATCCGTTTGACACGCTAGGTACTCATTGCTGGGCTCGGTTAAAGAATGGTACTGCAACCGCGAGAACCAACACGAAATCGGGGAAATGGTGAACGACGGATGGCTGCTACTCAAAACTGCGCCGTTCATACTGCTCCTGTCGTTCGCCGGGATGTACATAGCCAATCATATTTTTATTGCAAAAATACAGGTTAGTAGACACGAACGCACTACGAGCGTATCTAAGCCCCGCCTCGTGCGCGCGCACAACGCGTTTATCGCGAAACGAATAACGATTTCGCGGATTTTTCGGTTGTGCCGTGCAAGGCGTTTCCGTACTGACGCAACACACGTCTCTTCTGATCCGTGAAATTCAATTGATTCGTGTTTATTATCCTCCTGCGTGGGCGTCACTAAAGCCCGAATTTCGGGGTGGCAAAGTTTATTTTTAGAAAGTTAAGAAATACATTTTTAAAGGTTTAACATGATAACTGGCATACTGGTTAACTCACAGATATGTACAATAACTAGATTATGGTAACTGATTATGTCTGACGTATTATGATTAAGAAGCCGAAAGCCATGTGCATGGTAGTCAACGTTTTTGTTTGTTATCACTTTATCAGTTTGAATTTGTTATCATATTAAATAGTAAATAATATGTTTTTTAAGTTTCAAATACTAATTGTTTTTACCTGGTTATACTTGTTTCATTTCTTTGGTATGGTTCCAGTGGCGAACCCAGGATTTTAGTACTGTGGGTTTGCCTCACTTACGAGAGGCCACTGTGTAGAAGATTCAATCAACTGTACATTTATTAGGAGCTTCCAAACATATATACATTTATATATTATTATATTACATAGTTATACACATTAGTCATATGTAATTAAAAATTATATTGTATATTTTATAATTTTATAATAAATATATTAAATTACTATAACACTTTAATTTAAATTATATTTTATAATGATAAGAAATAATAACAATAATTAATGTAAATATTGACTACCACACATATTGCGGTTGACTTCCAAATGTTGTGCTAGTTATTGTATATATCTGTGGGTTAACTCTACTTCATAAATCTTGGTATGACGTATAGTTTGTACAATGTCTTATTGTTCGTATTGGATTTATCACAAAATATAATTATTTTAGACATAGGCGTGCGCACGGGTACAGCAGAAGGTTTATGTGCTGCATCAGCCACATTTTTTGGACCAATTGATTGGTCTGTGGGCCGGTCTGGCCAATTCATTATTTAATAATTTAATATAAATTATAAGTAAATAAAATTGATGTGAATCAATAAATAATTATTTTTACAGTAGAGTGTAGATAAAGCTATCAGTTTTATGTTATTGTGATAGTTGTAGTGGTTAGAAGTGTTATTACTGTTAGCAAGTTAGCTCTAACCTAGCCGGCGCGTTGGCCGCTTCCGCTGGAAAACCCTACGTACGTTCTAAAAATAATTCAGTAATCGATTGAATAATCTCAATAATTAAAATATTAAATTTCTATTTGATAAGTGATAATAATGTTTAACATTAATTTAATCTCAGACTGAGTTATTAACTATATAGCCATCATGGCGTGATAGTATTCGAATTATGAATTATATTGTTTTTGTTCAGAGTTTCAGACAACCGTGACTGTGTTCTTCGTGAAGCCGCGTATTCGTGGGTGTCAACGTAGTGACTAATTATTCTATGATTTTATGTTATACAACTATTAAAATCTGATAGTAATTGTAATTTGGCATTTTCAAAAGCAGTGAATAAATGTAAGGAAATATATTTACATTCGTCATTTGTTAAAAAAAAATTATTACACTATTATAGCCACTTTGGTAACAATAACACAGCCTATGTAAAAATTGATCAATAATTTTAACTGTCTCAATATTAATTTGGCCGATTGTTAAAAATGGGCTGTTTAATTTTACATACTGCATCTGCAATTAAAGTCTGCGCACGCCTATGATTTTGGATACAATCACAATAATAGATTGTTTATCCTCGTACACACTTGAATAATTAACTTCGAATATATTTTTAAAATCTATAACTTATTTGGAGTAGCAAAAAGATACCCTTGCAATTCCCACAACAATGTCTGAGGTAGCAAAAACACCCCTCGATACCCCTTAGTGACGCCTATGTTCTTCTGCGATGCGATTAATTCGAAAACAATCCGTAAAACATTTAAAAACAATACAGTTGTTACGTTACGCGCGGAAAAATATCCCAAACGTTGTGCGATCGATGCGCACGTGACGGACAATAATCACTGCTTGAGAAATATAACGACGATAATAATAGCAATACTATACAACGTGGAGCGGAAAGACAGGTTGGCGAAAATCGTATAATTGAGCAATCTGCAAAGGTTCACCGACATCATTTTTGAGTGCGATTGACTGTTATACGGTATTTGCCGACTTTTGGGGCCGGCATTTCAATGGTCACTCGAGTAAGAATTAAGTTAGTTGATATACGCACGTCACTAGGAACAGTGGCGGATTAACCTTCTCGGCGCCCTTAGGCACGCTTAATGATTACCGCCCTTTTTTCTAAGTACTGTAACAACCAGTGGCGTAAATTAGATCCAATTTCTGGTGGTGCAGGGACATATTATCAACTTATAATTTCCATCACACCAATTTTCCAATTTCCTAAGTAAAATCCTTTCCAATAAACTAAATATTTTCCCATATATTTCTTTAAATAATAAATAAATTTTGAATTATTTTAGCAGTAAAACCTAATAATATTAATAAAAAAACAATCAATTTTTTTTTTTTAGTACGCTGATTTCCTTGGCTCTTGAAAATAATATTATAGATACCTATACAAATTTCAATAATTTTCTGGTTGTGCGAAAACATATCTTTGCACCACTACATTTAAGATTGGTAACAACCCAAAAATCGGTAATCGGGTATAGCCGTCCTGGGAGTGAGAAATGGTTCAAAGGTATTATGGTTGAATAATTATTACTCCACATTTTAATTCAAATTTTGTATACATATAATAAACCAAAGTTAGATTTTTAATAATCTACGAATTCGTAGGTATCTATCTAATACCTATAAATTGAGCTTAAAACGATACTTTTATTTCCCTTAATTATTTACTTCTAAGGCATACCCCCTTGGAAATTTACGATACCCCCCCCCCGGATAGGTCTGAAATAAACACAGGATGCAGAGGCGTATATAGACTTACTTTTAGGGGGGAGGGTGAATCAAATTTTTTCTTTAATTCAGGCTCAAAATGTACAAGTAAAATGTTCGACAATATTTAAATCAGGTGAATCCTTAATATTTGTGACTTTTTGTTTTTAATCTAATGCCGGATCCACTTAAAATCGACTTTTTTATAGTTTTTTTTTAACACCTGTGTTTAGAATGTTACGCTTGTGTTTCATTTGATTTTTTACCAAATATGGATCCGAAAAAAAGCCTAATTCAGTATTCATAGCCACGCGTAATTTGATTTCGTTATAAAATGATCCACATTAAAAAAATTTGAAATGTGTATCTCACATATAATCATTTCCTTGAATACGGATTCAGGAATGTGATCGCCCTTTCGCCCCCCCCCCTAAAATACGCCCATGAATTGATGACTACTAGATTTTATATACATGTTATGCGTTATTTTCATGACGTGTATATTTTTCATTTTATTATTCTAATAATTTCAAAACTGGACAATATCTTTTTTTGTCCTGGAGGGGGGGGAATTATCCCGAACCCCTCCCTCATTTATACGCCACTACCTACGTAAAAATATGCAGTAAAATATATTATATACATTATTATTTTTATAACACATATTTTATTTTAATAAGTAAAAGTACTTATAGGCACCTAATAAGTATAATATAATATAGGTTGATTACAATAAAATCATAATATATACTTATGAATAATTTAATAGATCTCCAAGAAATAAAGTTGTACTTGTGATTGTTCGAACTACGCTGCAGAGAAACAACCACTGTCTTTAGTAGGTATACAAAATTACAAAAGGCAAGGGTGACCAATGTGTTCAGATGTTCACAGCAAAATAAATTGAAAAATAATAATATTATGATGGGTACTTATGTGTTTAAACACAATCAATTTGTAGTCATAATAATAAACCCAAATAATATCATTACGATTACGACCGTCACTGTGTCAATTATTAAATACGTATATTGTATAATATGGGTTGAAAATAATTATCTTTTCGTTGAATATTAAAACATTTTCGCCGATAAATTGATTTATATTTACCGCGAACTCGCCAACAATATTACTGTCAATAATGTTTAATATTCTCAGTCGTATTATTAGTGAGAAAAACTCGACGATTTTGGCTTATTCTTATTTAATGGCTGCGTATTTCTCATGCGTTACGCATAATGCATAATAATGCAAGTTATAACTAAAAAAAAGTAGCCAATCATTTCTCATCGGGCGGTTTGTCATTACGTGTTTTCGAACTACCGCGATCGTTCACCCAAATCGACGTTTCAAGAATAGGCTCCCTCCAGGGGTTTAAATTATTAAATTATGAATTTTCTGATACCAAAATTAATGAGTTTTTGAATGTCATTAATTTTTTTTTTCATTTTTGTTCGAGAGAAAAAAAATAATACATAAAAAATTTGCCACCCCCTACAAATTGCCGCCCTAGGCTCGAGCCTCACGAGCCTAATGGTTAATCCGCCACTGACTAAGAATGGACCTGAAACATCGGTATTTCGACGGATTTATATGCGACGCTCAGCTATAAGCAATAAATAAGTTCCATCGTATATTCCGTAAGAATCTGGTTTTTACCCGGTATTCAAACAAGCACTTATTAATTTTATAATCATTGAAACATTTATCTATTAAACTGTACTGCTTTTTAGTTATAATAATACCCGTTAATTACTAGTTTAAAATAAAAGATATACCCACTAAATATTGAAAAAAAAAATTGTTTTGCAATAGATCATTTAATATTAAATGTGTTTTAAACAAGAATTTTATCAATTTTATTTCTCTTACCGATTAAGGAGTAAATTAATTTTAAATGTACTTAGTACAACTAAAATACCAATATTGAAATATATTTTTATTAAACAAAAACAATTTAAAACATATGAATGAACATAATACTTACGTGGTTACAATGTAGGCAAGGCTGGGCAAGTAAATAATAATTGAGTTCATGTTCAATTAAGTTAAATATTAGGTTAAAAAATATCGTTAACTTAACTTAACTTCAATTAATAAGTTAAGTTAATTACAAAAAAAAATTATTTACATTAAGGACTGATTTAAGTGATATATATATAATAACAATTTACAACAGATCTCAATTAACATTAATGATAATGAAAATGCATAAAAAACTTATTTTAGAATATTTTCTATTTAACCCTAATTAGAGTAGAAAAATATACATTTCTTCATTGGGATTGTTTGTAAACACTCAAATGTCAGATTTGTGGTAATTTATGTATGGTTTTTTTTTTTTTATTAATTTTTCTTATAAATATAATTGAAAAAAAATATTCTTTTTAATGTTCAATAACTGTATGAAAACTAATAATAATTACTGCAGCTGTAAAAATTGTAAAGCTGCCAAAATTTTTATTTTTATATTTTTCTAAATTCCATGAACTTTTTATGGAACGCAGTATTTTACAAAAATATTTTTCTGATCTTGAAAATCAAAATTAATTTATTTGGGATAAATGAAAAAATATTGCACTCATTTCAAGTTAATCCATAAAAAAATGAGTTAAGTTAATAAATTAAATTAACATAACTTTTAACTTATTAACTCGTTAATGCCCAGGCTTGAATATAGGTACCATATAACTTTTTCAATGTATTAAGCCTCTTTATAAATTAGAATTATTTTTTCATCATCACTCGAAGAAACTATTTTATATTCATAATTTGATTGAATAAAAAAATGTAATTGAGATAAATTATTCGATCAAAAATTCACTTGAAACATTTCAACCTACATCTGAAAATAAAAGAAATAATAGTCAATAAATTTGAAATATAATAAAAATATAATAATAATAATAATAATAATAATAATAATTTATGGAACATACCGATTTAAGTATGGCTATGGTGTTCCTTAAAACCAACTGAGCTTAAGTAACGTTAGGATTAATACTTATTTATCATTAAATACATATATTTATGACTCAGCTTCATCTAGCCTTTAGCTTAAGTCAAAGTAGACACTGAAATACCGGCACTAAGTCTTTCTGCTTAATATTGTATATCTATAATTTGGTATTTTTAATTTATAACTATAACTTAAAATAGAATACTACACATTTTTATTTAATTTTCTTGATCAAGTGATTCTTAATTTTCCAAGTAATATGCATACTCGTATAGTTTAATATTTGAATTTACAAAATAATATAAAAATATTAATAATTCAATATTGTAAAAATAAACATATATTTTTAGATTTTTAATGACCTAATCGATCGAATAATATCACTGGGCGTTTGCACGACAATAATATTTGTGGATCTTTTAATATCCCTAGTTATTTCATACAGAATACACTATCATATTCAGAACTGGTTGGATTTCTATCATAACAATCAAGAAGTTATCATAATAGATCCAAATCTCCCGGAAGATACTTTGTAAACTCACAAAAGTTAAGTATGTGTTCATTATGTACACAAGTGTTAAATTATTTTTATTACATTTTTGAAATCCAAATAATTTTAATTATATGAGTTTTTAACATAAAATACAACAGATATTTTAATAATAAAATGCTTTAAAAATCAATTTAATAAATAAAGATTCTATGGATCTAAAATAATATCAGTGATAATAATTAGCTATTTAATGTAAGTTACGGTTGTTTCAATTGCGTGGTTTATACAAATGGAAACAAAGCCAGGACAGAGTCGAACATTTAAGTTATTTTAGTTGTTTCCTGGTATAATAAAGTACAAACATTAATATTGATAAAAAAAATTTATTCAGTTCAATACGGAAGATTTCATCATTGGCATTATGAAACAATAATATCATGCCAACGATCGAATGCCCATCGGTTTGGTTTATTGCAATACTTCTAATAAAAAAAAAAAATTGTACGTGACGAGCTGAAGCTTTATAATATTTCGCTTGAAATACTAACTAACGCCAAATAATACTGAATCAATGCGCATACAAAACACACAGACTAAATTCTGTATTCCGATACCTACACCACTGAAATACACACGCAAATTTATTTATAATAAAAATGCCGTTATCATATTTATAAAGAATTAAAACGCATTTAATCTTTAGTTAGGTAGTTATTAAAGACCTGCAAGGGCCGGGCCGGCCCAACCCGATCCTCAAAAAGCCCGGCCCGTACTGAGACTGGGCCGGGCCGGGCTGAGCTTTTTTGGTAGAACTTTTCGGGCTGAGCGTGGCTGGACTCTCAAAATAATAAAACCAAGGATAAATCGAGCTTTTTTTTGTAAAACTTTTCGGGCCGGATCGGGCTTAAGGATTTTTACATCTGGCCACGCTTGGACATTTTATGGATTTTTTTTGTATGACAAATAATTGTTATTTAAAATAAAAATGATAAATTCACATTACGACGTAGGAATAATCACGAATATTATGTAATTCGAGGAACGTGGGTACTGAGTTGTAGGTATAATAAGTTATTTATATATAATTCATAAATATGTCATTAATAAGTAACAACACTACCAAAATATATGGCATACTATTAGCGGGGTAGAGGTACTTGAGGTACTTGTCTATTAGCGAGATTATTATTTCTAATATCATAGTACCAAGTACCAATATTAAATAGAAACGGTAATTTGAAGTTTGACTATTATAGAAAACCATCGGGTAGCGGACATCCGCTAACATTATATCATGTGTGGATACTAATGTAGTAAAACCGCAACGGAAACCAATATCAATACTTATTCGTATTGATACGCAATTCCCACGGAAGAGGGCCTATTTTGATATCACAGAAGCAAGTTTCCTTGTTCACATCCGTCAGAATCCCTATCGATTTTACTCATATCCTAAATGGCTGCCTATAAATACGGTATCCATTTACCCATGTATTCAGAATAGTAGAATGATTTAAACTAGTGTTCATTTATTCACTCCGCTTATTGCACCGACGCTCATCGACCAGTGAAGTCCGCGCGCCTCACATCGCTGCCAGCTCTGAGAGTCAACCTTTATTATTCTCGGGCAGAACTTAAATACTCTGTCCTCACGCTTCCAATTACGATTACTATTTAATTTGTATTAATCACATATTTTGTATATTTTATTTTTATTTATTATTATACATATCTATATAACATTAAACGATAGTGTGTTGTCATTTCAACACCTTCCAACATCTCTACATCACAGACGTGAACCGTTCAAATATTTATTCGTCAACGATGCATTGTGTCGTCCTCTCGCAGGCCGGCTCGCTACACTATGGAGATTGTTAACACTAATATAGGATACTATACTATAGCGGCTATAGTTAGCTATAGTATAGCCGGTTTCAGCTGCCTAGTTTTAATGTTCCACGTTAGTGTACCAGTGAACATATTTTGTGTACCTACATTTGTTTGTTTGAATCAATATTGTAAGGTAAATTTTTTAATGGTACCTACTTATTTAATATTTATTTGTATTTTTTTTTCACTTTAATAATTTATCAAGTATTTATTATTAAAAAGTAATAACATTAAAGAAAAAACTGTTGAGGAACCTATTGCTTTCTAAAATATACAATATACATGCAGATTTATTTCACCTTTCTAAAAATACAATAATAATCAATTTATTATATTAATTATTTGTTAAAATAATTACCTAGGTAGTAGGTATCACAACGATTTGTTTTTAAAATTATAACGAATGGGTAATTAAATTATATTTATGAATAATAAACAGTGACTGATTTTAAATATTATTTTTTATTTGATTACCTATATTATAGTTTTTAGAAATATTATATTAAATATATTATATATTACTCATTTTAAAGTATAGGTACCTACTTGACACTCGTATACTTAATATCTTATTAACATTTTATTGCGCAGCACCCAGTGTCCACATAAGTTTTTAAATCCAAACATTGAATTTAACTCTTACCTAGTACTTACTACCTATTACTTAGTCTAATATTTATGGTTTATAAAAAATATAGGTTTTAATAAGTATTAAAAATTGTTTCCATTCAGGAAAAAAGTCGACATATTATTTACCGACTTCCTATTTTAATTTTTAAACATTTTTAATCATCTTTAGATATACTTTGTAAAGTTACTGGTTATTTTTCAAATTGAGTGTCTGGTTTTCAATAAGAAATTTTAAGTACTTTCTGTTTGATTTAGTTTGTTTATACCAAACTCCAGTGGCATCATTTGATAATATTTAGGGAGGGGATAGATCAAAATTTTTGTACATGAACAATTATTACTCGCAAACATTTTTATTATATAGTTATTAGTTAAATATGATATTTTAGGGCTAAAAATATATTTCAGACAGAACAAAATTTTATTAATAGCTTGGAATTATTTTCGGACTGGGCTTGAGCTTTTTTTACAAAATATTTTGGACTGGATCGGACCGGGCTTTTTAAGAATTTATGATGATGTTCGGGCCGGGCCTGGGCTTTTTTTATCAAAAAATATTTTGACCGGGTTTATAAAAAATATATTTGGACCAGAACGGTCTTTTTAAGAGCTTTTGATGATTTTCCGGCCAGGCTTGGGCTTTTTTTCACAAACATTTTTTGGACCAGTCCGTACGAGCTTTAGAAAAAAAAATGTTAGACTGTGCTGGACCGTAAATGTATGGCCCTTGCAGATCTTTAGTAGTTATATTAAATTTCTCCGAAATTCTTAACCTTAGAACGTTTAAAATTTCATTTGATAAAAACGATTATTCATTAATCAACTGTGGTTCCGATAAACGGCTGGGTTTCTCTACGGATATTTTATGAAACATGTATAATAAATAAATAATAAACATGTTAATATTTTTTTACTGATTGTCTGTGATAACAGGAATGATTTTATTTTGATCGCAACTAAATTTAACAGCACTTATAGAAAATGACAATGAATACATAGATAATGAGATTATTGATAGAGATTAAATAGGTACTTCAAAATATCTACCAAGTGTAGAAATTACTTTTTAAAAACCATAGAACGGACAAAAAAAAAAACCTTAATATAAAATTAAACAAACAACGATGAGATACATGACAATGATATTATCATTAAATTAATTTTTTACATTTTTTGTATATAATATTGACTTAATTTTAAATGGACATATACTTTTATTAAATAAAATTATACTACACCAATTTTTGTAATATTTTTGCAATTCATAAACGGATCATAAAAAACTACAATGCCGACTTAGTATCAAATTATTGATATAAATTCAGAGAATCTAATTTACATTAGGTCACTAAGCTGTACAAAAAACAAAAAAAACGACACGAGCCAATCAAAAATATTAACAAACAAAAGCTCTGCGTAAAAAAAAAACCAAAAAAAAAATGTTATTAAAACAAATGTTAACCTGATTCTAAAGGACATATATCGTGTTGGAGCGTTTTATCAATCATAGTTTGAAAATTATGTTTGTTAATTATACAAATTATAATATATAATTAAAAGTTACATCTCTGTTAATATTTTCAGTCATTCCATTATTCATAAGTAATTAAAACAAATTTTTATTATTCAAGTATAAGTTATCAAATTACCATTAATAGTTTCGAAAATATGCTTATGCTAAGAATTGAATAATTTATTATAATTCATGATCTATCTAATTTGAATAAGTGACAAGGATAAATCATTTTAAAGTAACATATAATATTACAGTATGATTACTGATGGTTACTGAAATATACATATTTATGTATTTGTATATTTTATATGAAAAATTATAATCTATGGAATTTTTTTGATGTGTATTATTAATGTATAAATAGTAAATATTCAACTAATATAGAATAAAAATATTATATGATAAGTAGAATCACATATTTTAGATTTGTTGATATCTATTACAAATCATTAAACTCTCAGAAATATCAAATTTTAAGTCTTTCACTAAAGACTGAAATTATTTATATTTTACCTAGATATATCATAAATTAATACAGTGAACATAATGTAACTAATTTAAGAAATCAATGTTATCAAATTTTAAAAATAATATTTAGAAAACCATATAGACTTAGGGTTAAATTTGGGTTAAATTTAATTTTAATTTTTGGCAGATAATTTTAACTTTATGAAAACAAATTGTTCAATTTAATCGATAACACGTCCCAGTTTAATAATTTAATTTTTTTTTTTATTTCAATTTGATTAGAATATGATATACTCTTATAGATTTTAATAGTTCAACTATCCGGAAAAACTTGTCGGTAAACCATGATGGGTTTTATTTCTTTAAAAGATCCTATTTAGAAAACTTGCTTTGACGCCGCTGGTCAATTAGTATACAGATGTAAAATTCGGTTAATTTTCAAATAAAGTACACATAAACAGTAAGGTTTGAATATTTACACGTTTAATGTACAAACAACCGACGTATAATGTATAGTATAATGTAATGTATAGGGG